AGGCTCGCTGAGGGTGGGGGAGAGAGAGAGAGGTACAGAGAGACAGGCAGAGGGACAGTTACAGAGAGTGAGAGAGCCCTCCCCTCCCACGATGCTGAGACCCACATGTTCCTCACCTGAGATAGAGGGCACAGGTTGTCTGACCCAGAATATAATCTGGGACCACGTCTCCAAACTCCCAGGAAACGTTCCGGATAAACTTCAGAATCGGGTTGCCCCTCTGCATAGAGAGAGAGAGAGAGAGAATCAGATTCATTCACTCCCTCCCCTCCTCCTCCAGCCTGTTACACAGGAACAGGAGGCCATTCAGCCCCCTTCCTCCTTCCTATCCCTCTGCTCCACAACAGACTCCCACCTGTCTCGGGCTGACCACGATGCTATTCTGTTTCGGGGCGGCCTTGCTGCTCGAGGGTTCGCCGAGGGGTCCCTCCGAGGTGCCGGGACCCTCTCTCACTACCGGCCCGGACCCCTCGCCCCGTGCCTCGCTCCTTCCTCCCCTGGCTCGGAACAGTGGCTCGACCTAGTCACAGAAAGAGAGAGAGAGACAGAGACAGAGAGGAGCCCGAGGCTCCCTGTTAGCACTGGGCAGCAGGGCTGCTAGACCGCGCGAGGCAACGCGGCGCCTGTGGGGGGGGCTGGCTCTCACCCGCGACGGCTCCGGCCCATCGATCTGCTCCAGAGGTGGGATCGCGAAGCTCCCGGGGGTCTCCTGTCCATCGTCCATTCCCTACAGAGAGGGAGAGAGAGAGAGAGAGAGAGAGAGAACGCAGATGGAGCGACTGTCGCAAAATGGAGAAAGACTGCGGAAAGCTGGAGGTGGGTGGGGGGGGCGGTGGAAAGAGGGAGATCGGGAGGTTGGGGTGGGGTGCAATGGGAAGGAAAACCCGTCAACGTCCCTGGGCTAAAAACAGCTTCCCGCCCCCACCCCACAATTTGCCCACCAGATTCTCACCCCCGTACCCACTCTAAAGCCCTCAACGACACCTCTGGCCCGCCTCGATAACCAATTTCCAACCCTAAATGCGTTTCACCCACCCCCCCAGAGGCTCTGCTTGCCTCTCAATGACCAATTCCGATCCCTAATCTCACTTTAGATCCCCTCGATGACTCAATTTGCTCTCCCAATGGCCAATTATGACCCCCGAACCCTCTCCAAACCCCTCACTGACCCTCTTCGCCCTCCCAATCACCTATTATAGCCCCCTTAAC